TTATTTTTTTATTTTAATATCTAAAAACTATTAATTTTTATTGAAATTAGTAAACATTTATGCAACTTGAAGATCTTCAATTTTAATATAAATTACTAAGTAAAATTTATAAACCCGTCGGTCAAAAAAATTTTCATTTCTATTTTCTTATGCAACTTGTGTATCTATGCAGACATTTTCACAAAAGAAAAGGTTTATACTTTCCCGGCTTAATATTTGAGGAAGACTTGCTTGAGTTCTGTTATGTTCTCACAAAGAGATTCAAATGAATGTGTCTGATTTCGTTGCTTCATTTATTTTTTCGTCTGCTGTAATAACCTACACTGTTTTGATATCCGAAAAGAATAATATTATTCTTTGTGATAATTGGAAGATAATATTCCTTATCGATTTTGGATTGGCTTCTTTTGATATGGATAGATTAAAACAAACAAAAGAAAAAAAAAAGATATGAATTTTGTTTAACTAAAAATTCATGAAGTACGTTATTTTTGAGAAGCTTATCTAGAAGCTGATTACATATTTTTTTACATTTGTTACGCAACTTATTATTTTTAATAATAAAAGGACCTTAACTTTGATCTTCGAAATACGTGAAAATATACTTTTCACATGTTCACATGGTGTGGGTGATGAGATACTATATGCCTTGCAATAAGATCGAAAAAAAAGACAGATAAATCCTCTTGATTCATTCGTATGATCCATCATTGGTTAATTAAACAGACATGAATTCGATTTCATAGACGGCCACGGGTGATTCTACAAAACATACCGTATATTTATCAGTTGGTCAAAAGTCGAAAATTCAAACGAAACAACTAGTCAATAAGTTCATACTTACCTTTACATCAAAAGAATTATCAATCGAGAATAATTCGCAAACAAAAATAGGTATGTGGAAATGCTTGATATACACTTCGACTTTCTTACATTTTATACTGATCATTTTTTCTTAAGCATTTCGGACAAATTTCTATGCTCGACATTCGTCCCATCGACGCAATAATACTTCTGCGACTTTGTGGTATACCCATGAATAAGAAGCAAAATGTAAGTCATGGAGGTGATTTTAAGTGAACCTATGCTCTGCAAAATTATTTCTTACTATTTTTGATTCTGAATTTACACACTAGCTTCGAGATCGAAATCCTTGCTCCACTTAGACGAAAGCAAATTTCTTCGCACGTTTTGAACTAGGCTGGAATTATGTGATGGGTGGAATTGGGATTTTTAACATGTAGATCTGAACATAATCGATATTTTTTTGTAATACTTATTTATTAGCTACATATGAAATCTTTTCCATAATAATTAGAGAAGTTGGGATCGAGTCTTGCTTAGTTTGTAACTGGAGTGCCACAACATTTTCATCACAATTCTGCTTTTTTTTTTTTTTTTTTTTAGCTTAATTACCCATTTCATGATTATCTAACGTTATTTTTTTCAAAACCAAAACCAGGAACATGCATTTTATTAAAAAATAATGACATCAACTAATAATTGGAGTTTATAAATAAACAAGTATATTTTTTAAGCAAATTAAGCTATAGTTTTCCAATTATTTAAATGACTGATCAAATATGTTCGGACGATCCGAAACAATGATAAACAATGATCACGAGAATTAAGTTATACCTTTTTTGTTGTATTTTGTCGTGACAATAGATGAATAAAAAAAGTCGTTTATTTCGCAGATTACATACAATAAAGAATTTTTTTTTAAATCTTGTCTTAATTCGACTAAATTATATTCTTTTGGGCTTATCACAAATTGATAATGCTGGTCGGTAGTTATATATTGATCGTCGTCGATTTAATTCCTCTCCAAACTAAAAAAAAAAAAAAATATTACCTTTGGAATTATTAAGATATTTTTATTACAAAATCGTCCAGAAGATGCTCCTTTGGCTCTGATATTATATAAGTCAATATATATCAACTACAACTTCTTTTTAATGAAGATAAAGTTAATTAAGATACACATAAGTATGTTCAGTATTACTAAGTCTTTATCTTTTCTTTAAAGTATGTAATAATGAAGATAGAGTAAATTAAAAATATTATGAAGTACGTATAAGTAAGTATTACTAAGTCTTTAAAGTATGTAAAGAAACTTCTTATGTGAATTTATAAATAAGAAATTAGAACACCATTTAGATATCCCATTTAATTGTCCGGAGCGAAGCGAAGGACAATGCGCTATGAAAAATGTTTCGGTCACGTGATTATTGCGCTTTGTCCGCTCACGTGATCTTCGACCAATGAAATCTCCGATTTTAGAAAGTGTCAGTTTCCAAGTTTATATTTCAAATGATCGTCTTTAGTGGTGTTTCCGCTTCGTCATCCTGAATGTTAAACAAGAAATTACTACCAAAATATCTAATGTCTTCGATCAACAACTTCTTTCATAAAACGGAACACCAATAACTCTATATAGTTTGACATCAAGATTGAATTCAAGTAAAGAATGGGTTGGTTACTCTGTGTCGGTTTCAGAAAGTTTCGCATGGGCTTCAAACCATATCTTATTCCTTCTCACAACTGCCATTAATAATTGGCATACTACAGTATTTTAAGTTTATTTGTCAACATGAACCCCCTTAACATTCGTTCGAAAATGGCTCACAGAATTTAATACGACATACGCCACATATTTCTGCCATTGGTGTCGACAACATTATAGTTTCTAACCTTAATCCCTGACGGCAAAGATTATCGGTTACGCAATGGTAACCAAGTTGGAAATACTTAATAATAAAACAACGTTTGGAGGTGTGGGCGCAAGGTAGTGATGTTTACAACCACCATAACTTTCAACCACCTATTTACTTCAAATAATCTCTTAACAATTCGTTCTACCTCCAAACGCAAATATAAACGGTGAACGAATGAGCGTATTGTATTAATTCAATTACAGTACTAGCATACACTATTGCTCAAAGACATTCTCGAATCAACTTCTACATTGTTCAATATCATACTTATATTTATTAGAAAAACAACTCAAATATTATGTAATAATTTAAATTTTATCAATTGCTTTTTCAATAATATAACAACACAAATATTATGTAATAATTTAATTTTTATCAATTGCTTTTTCAATAATATAACAACTCAAATATTATGTAATAATTTAATTTTTATCAATTGCTTTTTCAATAATATACAAAGCCCAACCTACGAGTTGGTTAATGACAATGGGAAGGAACTGTATTTATTCTAGGAAAATTTGTGATTTTCCTAATGAAATGATCAGGTTGTTAAGTCTGGAGCACTAGTGTAACGGAAATTTTGAGCGGGGCGGGACATTTTCATTATAGCGCGTGGACAATAAAAGTCCTTCGCTATGCTCCGGACTAACAAAACCGGTGAAAAAGTGCTAATCTACGAAAATCGGTTTCCCTTTAAAATTTCACAATTCATGAAGAAGATAACCTTTAAAGGTTTCTTCTATGCAGTACTGAATATAATTTTATCAGGTAATCTATTTATTATGTTTATACCTTATCTTTGATAATTTACGAATAAAATTCTGAGATTCTGAGGCACTGTCCTTTTTTTTTTTTAAAAAAAAAGAATAACTTTGAAATCTTATTATTATTAATCTAATTAATCAATTACACGTCATAATTATCATATTTTTAGAAATTCGTTGAATTTGATTGATTACGATCTTAATTTTGGAATGATATTTGATTCCGAATTTAGTTTCGAAACTAACTTTAATTTGAATTTCGACACTTCGGTAGGTATCATCTTTTACAAAATCGTTCTTTCATTGTCTTTCATCGTCATTAAGATTAAACATCAATATTTAAGGTGTTTAATTTAAATTCAGGCTATAACCGTTTGTATATTAACAATTCACATTCTGCGCATTTTTATCAGACGACAGGTAATAAATATCTTTTAATATTCTCGTTTTGACGCTATCTCTTAATGCTGGTTCTAATATAATAGTTTTTTTTTTTTTTGATAATTTATTTATGAATAGTGACTTGATATTTAGGATGTATATAAATGAATCATTGTTAGGAAAAGGTAGGAGTATTTATATTTTCATTTTTCACATTGGATTGGACGACGTCACGTAAGAATTAATTGCTGCGCCTTATAATTGCGATCTTACTTATATTTTCTCATTCCTGCTATTTTTATAAATATCAATTTCTAAAAGGTATTAATTACTTTCTACATGAGTGACAGTTCTCCTAAGTGAAATATTAGGAGACGTTGGACAAGAGATTTCTAAATGCAAACAATCTGAGAGTTCTTTGCAAAAACTTTAAATGTTAACAAAATACATTGGGCAGCAGTCTGTCATGCTTAGCTATATAAAGAAATCGGATCATGATTCTTAGTCTTAGAAAGGAATTTACTAAGTAGCTATAGGCAGTGATCTGCATTTGGAAGATTGGAAGCCACCCTTGGAAGCACTTTTGGAAGGATTGGAAGCATAATTCTCTAATAAATTCATCTGGATTGGAAGCTTCCAATCAAATTTATACTATTGGAAGCAAAAAATGCACATCACTGACTATAGGCACATGTTGTTGGTCAGGCCCTTATCATATATACTTACACTAATAGATTTAATGTTTAGATATGTATTGTAAGTAAGCTTTAATATGTTTATTATTACCTTTTTGAATGTTCAAGGATGTGATATTTATGGTTCTTAACGACAACATACAGTACTTCGACCTCTTTGCATCAGAAGATAGAAATGAAAGAAATCACCATTTGCAGGTCATGATCTTGAGATCGGCATTTTAAAGACCAGTTAACACGAATTACTCCTACGTTCCAAGTAAGGATGGGGGCGGTTCTCTCGTTTCCATTTCGGCTCCTCTTCGGTTCTCTCCTAAAGTAGAGCAAGTGATATCAATTAAAAAGTTTTGATTGGTTTATCAAACAAATTCGGTCTATTAAATTGATGACGATCCCATTCTTTTAAGGCCGGTCCGGAGCAAGTCCGGTTCAATTTTTAAAATTAAAGATGTTTTGTAACTCGGGCAAACTCAGAATATGCTGAATTTAGAATGCGTTCCAGAACCGACGTGGAGTCGCTCTTTTGAACCGTACCCATCCTTAGTTCCAAGCTCAGCTTAATAATTCATTCGGAAAAGTTGAACGAGTTATTTAATTTTTCATAATGCTATAGCATTTTTATTTAACTACACAGCAATTTACGCCTTTACAAGATCCGATAACATATTTCTCTCTGAAACGGCATGGAATCTTGGATAGACAGCTATTCATGCTTGCTAACAATCCTCTGATGGCAAAAGTGATTATTTTGTTAGTTATATAGAAGGTTACTTATGAAAATACACAGAAACTCTATAGAATGAGACACACCACTAATAACTCATGTACAGCGTCAGCTGATTGTGCCAAATCGAATAGTTCAATATATTTTTATCTCGCGTGTTTATCGACAGAAAGTATTCGTGTAACATGGCATCATTGATCAACAGGAAGGGCTTATGAATATCTCTTTTAAAAATGGAGGGCAATAAGTATTTTAGAATATCGTTATCGTATCGAAAGACGCATATTTTATTGGACGTAGTAAGGATAATATTCCTGAAGTTAATGTAATAATAAAGAACTTCAATAAGTTCTTCGACAAGAATAACCTACCAACCAAATAGAAAGAGTTTGCAATTAATTTAAATTAGAAAAGTAAATTGGTAAACGTTTATCGATAAGTAATGATCCTGGTGTATCTATTTTTGCTATAGTTATCGAACTTTGACTTAAGAAATTTTATGGAATGTCTTCTAGGTCGGATATGCTGATATATAATCATGAAATCGGTTGTCATGCCGACACAGAATGTAAAATGTGCTTACGTGAAACTTCATCACGAAGTCCCGTGCTTGTTGGCCCCAATTATATATATCCTTTACGTTACGAGTTTTTACATTACTACATCTTGGTTTGTTAAGAAATTGCTCTAAAAAAGCTTTTTTTTTATACTTGTCATCATTGTTAGGTTTGATTGTCAGGTATTAAAAATTCCTAGAAATTGTAGTGCAACTCGATTTTCAATAATTTTCATAAGGTTAATATTTTTTTTTAAAAAAAATAATCTAGGTCATTTTGACTTGAAATTTATAATTAAATGATGTCATTTGGTGTCATTTGATGAACGTGGTTGTAATTATTCATTTTATTTATATTATCAAAAAAAAAAATCATTGTAATATCAACCTCTTTAAGCTATCTTTTTGATGGTTAAATCATTAGGCTTTGAAGTGAAGGTCACCAAAGTTTGTGTTTTTATCATATAATAATATAATTTTATTTATAATGGTAACCTAAAAAAAATTTTTTATATCTTATTTCCCTTTCTAGCCAAAGCATTATGAACAAGTTGTAAATGTTTCGTGTTTGAGCAATTAACCTTAACGTAATAAATAATTATATATGGAACGCGTTTATTCACTGAAAATTTGCACAGGTTTTCTTAATTGATTTGTAGGATTCAATTACTGTCTTAATTCTACATGACATATTCATATTATTATTATTTGAAGATTCTTTTCTAATTTGCAAGGATAATGTTCTGGAATTAATGCGAATATTAATTGACTTTGGTAACTTTACTTCTACACATACCTAATAAAGAAAACCCGATATTTTAATAATAAAAAAAAAATAACAGTCAAATTCTACACGTGTAACTTTGATGAAAGCGGGACGAAATTACCGTAAAATACCATATCTGGTAAAACAGTTTCGGCGAAAAACTCCGTAAATATATAAATATTTTGAACTTTAAAAGTAATCAATAATAATCAGCCAAATACTGTAATCATAATAACTATTGATTCAATTAGTTCATTCACTTGATTGTTTAATAACATAAATATTGTTTGATTATTTATTGTATAAAAGAAAAAAAAAATTGGTGTACTTAATATATAAAAAAATTTTCTGACTAAAGTATATATATAAAAAAAAAATTTATTCAATAGGCGTTAAATATAAATGTTCTAATTTAAAAACAAACAATAAAAATAAAAAAAAAGACGACATCCTTAAATGAACCCTTTATTAGAATATTTTGAAAGGAGATAAGCAATAACCGCTTCATTGAAAAAAAAAATCTTGTATTTTTCTTTCTAACAAGTAATACACACGCGTAAAACGTTCTGAGATTTTTAACATATTTATTACTACCAAAATATTCGGAAACTAACTTTCATCCGCTTACTAAAGTGCATATCCAAACAAACAGTAAAAAATAATTATCAAATGAAACCATAAATGCAATCTCCTGTTTTATTTTACGCAAATAAAGGCTTGTTTTCTTTAATTAAACAAAATCTAAATCCTTATTATAATTTTTTCTTAACAAGTTATTTCTGTATCATCCAAATAAAACCAATAATATTTTATTTATTTTTATTATTTTCTTTTTTTTTAAAAAAAAAAAAAATAACGTGTAAGATGTGAAACAAATGCTTCTGTTTTCCGTATAATATATACAAACATATATAACAGATAAAAAGATATGGTCGATCATCTAATATATAAATTTATGAATGTTTAACCAATCATTTTTGTAAAAAAGTATATATAAATCTAAATTTTTTGTCAAAAATTTTTTGACCGATCACATCTCCAGTATCGCCAACACTTTTTTCACCCACGTGATTTTTTAGCCGGCATTACTGAACTTGGCCGAAATTATCCGAGTGACACGGGACGACGACAAATTATAGGGTCACGTATAGGTGAAAAAAAGTGTTCGGCGATACTAGGGAAACTACCGATCACACAAAATTACGTTAGATTAGGTACTAAAATTAATAAAAATTTCCAGATTCCCTTTTTTACTGACGTCCTCCCAAATGCTTTACATCAGTCTCCCATTATTTTCAAATATTATTAATTGTTTTAAAACCTCTGTCTAGGTTTGTATATGATTTTAAGACAAATGAACTTATTTCAATTTAATTATTAATTGTTTTTTTATTACATTAGTTTTATTTATTGAATTCTTTTAATTTTTTTTAATAAATTTATTTTTAATTTAAAAAATTTAGGTTAGGTTTAGGAGTTAAGGTTCTTATTTTATAAATTTTACAAATTTTTAATTTAATTGTTTTATTTAATAAAAAACATATATTTTGAATCGTATTTAATTCTACTAAAAAAAAATAAAAATATGAATATATTTATGAATATATTATCGGTCATGACCGATCATATGGCGGTGACCGGAATCGGGCTCGGTCAGAAGCTTCCGACCCCGACCGTTTGCATCCCCCAGTATGTATATATTTTGATGTTTGATCTCTTTTCTCTACTCTACATTAAATCAAAATTTTATACAAATCTTTCAATGATTCAAAAATTATTGATAAGAAAGTGAGGTGTATTGCATAATAATAATCACATGTTATTCTTAAAAAAGCTAACTAGATCTCGAAATAACTTAAGATCAAAATTCAGATTGGTTATGTGATGACAATTATATTTTCTTAAACATTGTTTGATAATCTCACTTACGCCATGTGCTACATTAAAACTGGGGGGGTTTTTTTAAAAAAAAAATTCTTATGACGCGTAAATCTTACCGCCATATCACCAAATATTGATGAATATTTTAATTTATAAATGACCAAAAGCCTTTGTTAAATCTGAAGAAGTTTCTGGAAATTCAGGAGTCGGTAAAAAAAAATTTTTTTTATTCGAAAAAAAATTTTTTTAAAGTAAATTTGTACTATAAGCGAAAAGACATTAAAGAAATTATTGCACAATAAGATGATGATAAATGATTATTTTAATCAAAAAAAATATCTTGAATTACTCTTGAAGTTCGTTCGGAGATGGTTTGACATTCAGCGCGCAATTTGTTCATTTTTAGTCCGGTACCTGATTCATGCCTCTGACTTGAGTACTTCATTAAGTATAATTACAAAGCATAGTTCTTGTTGGAATGATTTATTCCAAAATTATTTATGATTCACCATTTAATAGTAGCGCCACATTTCTTTAATAACAAGGTTCAAGTATACCCCAAAATTGTAAAAATGAAAGTAGATTTTCGCTTATCAACAACGTTGAAATCACGCACTTATTATTGTAATATCTTTTGTCATTTATTCATTCTATCATCATTATCATTATTTATATTTAAAAGGTTCTTTATTTACACAATCAAAACGAACTATACGTTGTTAAAAGCGTGGTTTAAAAGAGAACAATATTTAAGCAAGTTATATTACGGGCGAGGAGCCCACATAAATAATTTCCATTTCTGATATGTTATATATTCATAAAAGAAATAATAAAGAAATAAATATCAGTTCATTTTTTAGATGATGGACAAATATAAGTGGTTGTAATACAATACTTATGCTATTAAATTTATTTTTTTTTTTTGATTATGATAGAAAATTTAAAAAATCGTTTGAAATCATAATTTAAATACATTTCGAGTAGATCTCTAGAATATACTAATGTAAAGCTACAATCGCGGAAGCGACATTTTCTAGATGTATTCAAAGGTTTCTTTTTCTTTTCTCAAGACGGATGTGGCAGCACTACTATGGTGGGAATATTCAGTCACGGATTTGAAGTATTTACAAGTGATGTTGGATTTAAGATCGTTGACGACTGTAACAGTACCCTCTATGGTCTCACGGATGGAAGCACGGAATCAATTTGGATTGTCATGATGATGATATCCTTTTACCACGATTGAGCAAATGTAATTGCAATGGAACTCAACGTCGTTTCTTTTACTCAAAAACATATCTTCTTGCAAAGTGACCTACTTGATCATCGTAAATGGACAAACAAAGCCAAAGCAGCAACGGATTTTAATGATAGAATGACAAATGCAATATGTAAGTATGCCATAGTAATAATTTTGTTTTTCTTGAACGTGAATTTTATTATATCAAATTTCGTTAAATGAAGAACGTGTCGCATATTTATTACCAGGTAGCACGTTTAACTTATTACCGGGTAACGTGTTTGGATTAATACCAGACAGGTAGCCGTGTTTGGATAATTATTACTTATCACCTGCCATTTACACAATAACAGATAATTTATATTAAATGTAAACCAAAATTTCGGTCAATCCATTTCAAAGGAATCAATCGTATGAATGTCCTTTATAATGAACAAAAATTTATTGCTACAGCAAACTTAAAATATATAATTTGAGAATTGTAAATTATGCGCAGCAGATGTTACGTGTCGTGATAATTGAATACGAAAATTAAAGTAATTTTTTATAATTTTATAATATATTTTAAATATTAGGAATTTCTAAACCAACATTTTCTTGTATCTTTTGACGTATCTTTGGCATATAATTTTTATTAATAGAATGTACATTAATTTGGAAGAAAACAATAATGCAAAGCTAAAAGAAAATATTGATAATGTTATAGAAAAAAAATAAAAACTCTCTTTAAAATATAATTTCCTTAAAATTCAATTATGAAATTTCAATAATGCAAAATTTTCAAATATGTTACAAATTTTTTATTTATTACCCGTTAGGTGTTTTAATTATTGTGTTTTTTCTTTAAATACATTCAGTCTATGTTTTTATATATAAGACAATAATAATGGAAGCTCAAGGGCGTGTCATACAGTTTTTTTTTTTGGCGAATATTATGACAAAATTCGTTCAAATAGTTACTACACAAATAAATTATCTAACTAATTATGGTAATAAGCCGGTTACTTTGTTTTAATGTTATTTAATTCAACATTGTGCAACATGATCGACATTTAGCATTTCTGAAACGGCAATAAAAATATAAAAAATAATAAAAAATTTTCCCGAGCTTTTATTTTTATTTTTTTTTTGTATAAAGGATTTAATTTATTATTAAAAATATTATTTTTTGATCAAAAGATATTAAATTATAAAGTGCATTGTAGAAGTATTTTAATTTTGTGATCCTATTTTATTTTCGGTTCATTTGTTGTTTTTTGATCACTTTGATCATCATGTCCAGTGACTGATTTGGATTGATGCCTATATAAATCTTATTAAACACAACGCTATGAAATAAAAAACTTATGGTTATTTATATATAAAAAACTAGTTATATTCTTTTTATAATTCAATCAATGCGGTTTTGACAATATAGATCACGCGTGTGTGATTAATAATATTACGGAAAAATTTAAGACATAGAAGTATATTTGGCAATACTATTCTTATTCCGAAAAAAAAAAAAACTCCTTCTTACAAGTTATTTCCATAGTAAATAAACATTTTAATCATTATTTATTATTTTCATTTTGATTGTATAATCAAATAAAATTAATTTGACATACTATATATAATATTTGTTTAGGGCTAATAAATAAAAATTTTTTATATAAAAAAAAGAAATGAATTTCCGTTACGTTCAAGCTAGAATGGTTGAATAGTTTATGTAAGTTGATGAAAATTTAACTAGATCGTAAAACGAAATGTGATTCCCGATTTTAAACTTCGAAACAGAATAATCAATGCCTCAAACGGAATAAAGAAATGGGCCGAATGAAACAAATATTTACGATGATCAATAAGGTTGCAACAAAATATATATCCAAATGGAAAATTAAGGAATAAAATCTTTCTATTTAAAATACGATGACGAAATTAAGGATTCGGATTTAATATGTTATACTTACGTAGCATTATTAGCCATATTTGGAATAGGGCAAGTCCTTATAGGAAAGTGCCGGATAAGTAATTTATCCGGTATCACGTAATATATTTTTTTATCCTTTCAATTTTTCTCACTATGAAATAATTTCCTTTTCTAAAAATATTCAATATTTTATTTAAATCCTAATGGGAAAATACAAATTTAATAATGTAAGTTTAAAAAGAATTCAAATTATTATTATGTTTTAAAAATTAACAACTATAAATAGATTCTTTATATAATTATCTAATATGTTACAATACAACAAGTAAAAAGAAAGACAATTAATTATTATAAAATATTATAAAATTATGCTCCTTATAATTAATATGTTAATTATAATAAAAATTGTATGGTTAATTACAGGATACCGGATATACTTAACGATTACCATTTAAAAATTTTGATACTCGATACTCATAAGGAAAAAAGATGACTTTTTTTTTGTTTCTTACTAATTGGAATTAAATTTACTTATCACGTATAGTTTAATTAACCCGAATCGAAAGTTCGATTTTTAGCAAAGAAGTTTACTTTACTATTATTGCTTATTTTATAGTTTGATCATGTTTTGTAACATTTTTTTTTTATAAAAAATATGTGATAAAACATATCCAACAATAATGATACCAGCCGTTGGACGGCTGAGTAAAAAGCAAGCAGAGTCGACTCCGTTATTTTCAAATGTCTGAGCCGTGTGATTGATTTAAAGATCAAGAGTATCACGATAATAAAAATTTCAATTTTTTAGCCTTTAATTTTGACAAAACTCGACAGACAATTTCAGTCGAAGTTTAACTTTAAATCCTCGATTTTTTATACAACGTTTATTGAATTCTATCAAAATTTTAAGCTCTTTGAATCAATTTTGTTTATATGGTTGTTGATTTTTAATGAGAGTCGCGACTCGAGTCGATTGAAACGACTGACTGAGTCACCGCGGCTGGTACCAGAACATTTTGTTGACTCGACCCAAAAGAATTTAATTAAAATGATATTATTATATTACTATAAATAAATTTAATGTTCGGCAATGCATTTTTCACAGATTAACAGCTGACAGAATATGAACCTATTCACATTTGAACAAAAATCATAACAAAGTCATATGTAATCGTTTCTGATTTTAATCTTTATCGAACTTTCTTTTCATGTGAATAAATGGAATATTCCAAACTTACATAAGTTAAATGATTTCAATTTAAGTAAGTATTATTTATAATTCGTGAAAAGAAAAGGAAATTTTAAATAAATCGAGGTTAATGCAAAAAGTTTCTTTAAGCTTTCATGTAAGATTTCTTTATTTGATTTCATTAAGATAATATGATCTTTGTGGTTTACGTTATTATAAAAACTTTTTATTAAATAAACAATTGGATTTAACACGACTATTGTATCTCTTTCAAATGATAAAGTATTAATGAACTTTAAATGGTTAAATTCTTTGACAAATATACGTTTGATAACGGAAACTGAGACTTGATCTCCGCAGATTATTATATCTCGCACAAAAAATGATCGTCAGCAATTGATCTAACCCAAAAAGGACTTATTCTAGACTTTTTTTAGGCTTATTATATATGAAACAATGTAACAAAAATCTTTCAATAAATTTTTCTTTAGCTTGTTAGTTAAACGAAGTCAGTAGCAAATTGAAAGGTTGATAAATAAATCCCATATTAAAAATTTTTCCGTTATTTTTTATTTACTAAATGTTTTTAAAATTAGTAATCAAAGTTTGACATTAATAAAATCGAACTTGATGATGATTGATTACCTTATCAAAAAATTCTCAGAAACAAAATTTTTCAAATTAAATTTCACTATAATACTATATAAAGATTTATTAATCATAATAAGTTAATTGTATTTATTTTTAGTTATTATTATCAATACTAAGACTGATTGAGAAAAATGGATTTATTGTTTTATTGTAACAATATAAAATGTGTTAAAGTAAAAAAATTTTTTTTTTGTAATGTGTAACATGATATGATTATAAAGATTCTAATAAATAATAATTTTTTTTTTTGCCAAATGGAATATAACATAAAAAAAAAGTTTTAAAAGGAAATAACGAGCAAACCTCCGTTTGGCGTTTTTAAGGCAGGTTATGAATGAAGGCATTTATTAAAAGTTTTGAGGAACTTTGAAAAAGAGATCCGTTGTTTTGATACAGCATGAATAATCGCGTGAGACATAACATGACTTATTGCAACAAGAATGGTTGAAACGCGTTAAAAGATCTCCAATAGAACAATAGAAAAAGGACACACCTGTCCGGAATAGATTTAAAAATAGAAATTCTTTATATTTTAGAACGATTCCGAAGAAGTTTATGTCAGATTTTTCAAAATGGATAAATTTAAATACCGATTTAAATTATAAATCGTGCAAAGTTCTGCATTCCGCATTCGCATTCGCATTTACGCAATTTTGCATTAACTGATTATTTAATAAGTACTTTGGATTTTATTTGCTTAGTCCATTCAGTCAATGGATATTTGATATTCTATTAAATTGCGATGAATATAGGATTTTTGATGCTGTTAACCAATTTTTTCTTTATGTCAGCATTTTTATAATCTTGTGTATAGTACATACAATTAATTATTTATGTTGTCCTTATTACTCCTGCATTTTATTAAAATGTTGTATGCAAAACTTAATAACAAATCGAAAATATTTATTTTTTTCAATTCTAAATTCGGGTTACAAAAATATTACAAAACTAAAGTTGTTATCACCAATTGAATTAATTATTCATCATAAGATTATAACACCCTGTACATAATGTAACATTTTATCCTTTCTGGAAGGGAGGGAGACAATGGTGTAAATTAAACTCTTACGATGTTACACAAATAAACCAATGTGCCCCTCACAAATTTAGTTTTTCATTTCTCACTTCTGATGGTTAGTTGAATGAGGATTTTATTATCATTCAAGCATCCACTACTATTATTCAAACAAGCTCAAAATTTCTTTACTTGTTTTGTTTTCGAATTTACTATAAACAAGAATTTTTGGAATGAAACTTAAAATTAACTTTTATGCAGTGTGACTCCAAATTACAAAAATATGTTATTGATCGGAAAATCTTATTCAATCTCGTAATATTGCGTGAACAAGGAATAATTTTTATTTAATAAATAAAGTAGAAGAAAAGGTACAAATCAAAGAAAGTTGTCTAATCGAGTGGAAGGAAAATTATAGTTTATTAATTGCTCAAGAAACTTTCAAATTCACTATGATAATCTAAATTGTTAAAAATTATAATCTTTACGGCAATTTTTTAAATACAAATAAATAACAAACAATAAAACAAATTTGAATTT